AATTAACTTTAAGTTTTTTATAGGCAGTCTCTTTTAAAATGACAAAAATTCCTCACCATCTGGAAACACTTTCTCTTTCCGTATTCTTCCATTTTGAAGCTGCCTTAACTTCATCAGCCTAATGGCTGGATTTTTTGTCGCCGGCTTGAAGAACTTCTCTTGGATCCATCAGAGACTTTGCGATGTCCCTGAGATCAGCAAGACATATTCTTCCTGTTCACCGTCTCTGCGGGACGGTTTAGGTCCGATTGGACCACCCAGCGGCAAAAGTATCTGCTGAAATCTCGGAGCATCAAGACTGCACATCTGTATCGTCACGACATTGGCTCCTCCTCCCCTTAATAATTTTCTTAATAATACTTCAGGTATTATTAAAAGAAAAATAATATTTAATATCCACAAAAGCAACAAAATCCACAGATTTAAGTCATAGTGTGCCTGTCTGGTATTGTTTTGTTTTAGCACATTATGAAAACCCAGCCACTGTGTCATATTCAACAAACCATGGTTAAGTAAAAATAAAGCTAAAAATAAAGCCTTTTTACAAAAGTGTTCTGAAAAAAGTTTGTGCAACTGCAATATTAAAGGTTGAAACATCTGGAATAGGCAACAAATATGCTCTAAGATTATCTAAAGTTAAACCAAATGCTTATGTAGCAGAGCTGATGGTTGTCTACCAAGTGGTATCTATTTTTGTCACTACTGTTCTGTCTCTCATTCAGTCATTCACACATTCCCTGCTTCTGTATTGAAATATTCAACAAGAGTACATAAGGTACAACTTTTCTCAACCAACTCTCAATCCTTATATTCATTCTACTCTGGCAAGACATTACAATCACTATTTTGAACCTCTACTATTAAAAAAGAATAAAACCTCTGAAATTGAACCTTGCAGTCTCAGGATTATTTAAAATGTAAAACATTGCCAAATTCTTCTAGTCTTATTCAATATTTTGTTTACAGAATAAAATTATTTACACCCTCTGGAAAAGTAACAGTGCTATTTAAATGAGGAAAAGGAGAGCTGCAACATCTGCTAAGATCAGAATTGTGTTAAAAAAAATACATACCAGTTGGCAATGTCTTTGTGAGCTACTAAATTCTGTAGAAATGCTTGGAGTCCTAGCTGTCTATCTTCTAAGAAATCGGGATTGTAATTATCCTTGAACCAACGCTTTGGGGGCAATGCCAGTCGAAAACCAGGAAACATATCTTTCAGCTGAAAACATATATCAGAAGGTTATTGTATACAGAATCATAATTTCTGTAGATAAGAGGGAATAGTAACATTATACTATCAGAGTTATAAAAAGTCAGTGGTTAATGTGTCAGGCTAGAAATCAGGAATGTTTGAGTTCTAGTCCCGCCTTAGGCATGAAAGCCAGCTGGGTGACTTTGGGCTGGTCATTCTCAGCTCAGCCCACCTCACAAAATTGTTATGGAGAAGCAAGGAGTATTAAATATTTTAGATGCCTCAAGTTACTTATTAAAATAATAAAAGTGATATAAATAAGTAAGTAAAGTAAGTAAGGTAAGTATATAAATAGGTAAGGTAAGGTAGGGTAAAGTAGGATGGGTAGAAGGCAGGCAGGCAGGCAGGGTAAAAACTGGGAGACTGTGAATTCCAGTCTAGTCTTAGGCATGAAGCAACTAGGTGACTGTGGGCTAGTCCCTCTCTCAGTCTTAGAAAAAGAAGAATGGCAAATCACTTTCAAAGATTTTGCCAAAAAAAACTATAGGGAGGGTTTAAAAAAAAAAATGCAGGCAGTCATCAAAAAACAAGAGTGAAGAAGCATTCATGCATGATATGCCCACACTCACACAAAAAGAGTTACAGCAGTTTAGCAATGATGCTAACTTTCACTTTGTATTTCAGATTTGTATTAACATTAGATTAGCAACATTTCCCAAAGTTGCACTTTCCAAATTAGACAACTTTTCATGCTCTACTTTATTATACTCAGTGATTCATCTTATGAATACTGTATGTATATTCAAGGAAGTTACCTATCTTTAGATATGTAAAATAGAAGCTAACCATATCATATCTAAGGTGCAAAAATTTTCCTTTTTACCCATCTATAGTAGTAGTTTCCACATATTTAAAGCCTACCTGTGGTACACCTATTAAATATATATATATAACTCTATTATAAATCAGTCACTTTCTCTCAGAACCTTTTCACATCCTTTGATAATTGTATGTGAAATAGAAACAGCATTTAATTTTCATTCATTCAGTTCAACAGTAAACATGTCAGGCAAATGATTTAGGACTCATATCTACATTTATTTTCTTTGAAGGCTGCAAGCTTCAATTTCATTTAACACATTACACAGGATTGCTATAGCTCATTTCCACAAATACATTCAGTGTCAGTGCAATGTGCTTGGGAGTTTGCATCACTTAAACATAACCTAAACATGATCATTCAGCAATGAAAATGTAAGCACTGTTGACAATTATCAAAAATATTATCTGTAGTTTCTGGAATACCAATTGTTAACTTTTGTGTAACTGGAAACATTTGAAAAGAGTACTGGACATATACTAAATACTATCTTTGGAAAAACTCTAACTGCAAAATGCTATATTTTTAACAGGTACTGTGAATCTTTGCTTTAATTTTGAACAACAGCTTACTGTTAGATACAATAGCTGAAAGCACCTATACACAGTGTTGGATTCACATGTTCTGGTCTCTCATCCAATCAGATTGTATAGAATATATCTTTACAAATTAGCTTTTAAATCAAATATATATTGTCTTTATGGCAAATAATAGATGTATTTTCATGCAATATTTTATGCTGATTTTCATATGTGTTCATTTTTATTTTTAACTTTTCAAAGTAATTTATGAAACATAGGAATAATATTAAATTTGTAATAGTAATTACTGATTGGCCTATTTAAATGTATGTACCTTGTCATTAAGCCTGGAGAAGTCTGTATACCTTCTGAAAACTACCCAGTTTTCTTCTGGATTTTTCTTCACAAGTATTTTGTAAACCTATTAAAACAAAAAAGACAAAGCCCTATTCAAACAGTTTCAGGAAACAGCATGTGTAGCAGACTTCTCATATTTCACTGTAGTTATTGAATAGTTCACATAACTTATTCTTTGTTTTTCAGAACCAACCAACCATTAACAGATGAGGCAAAGTTTACAGAACTTTAAAAAAGAACTTTTTCATACAAGTTCAGGATAGATATAGTTTCTACTAGCCAAGATGAACTAATTAATGGTTTCAGCCAGTACTTTTAAAAACTGATTTCATAAGCACATCAGATTGCTGCAAATTATATACATGTACAATTTATTTAAATTATATTTAATCTGAAGAATATTTAACTATAGTCCTTGTTTCCTGGGATATATTATTATACCTTATCCATGCCTCAATTCTGAAAGGTATTGTGTTGAATGAGACAAGATTGGAGAGTGTTTGTCATTTCAGCAACTTGCATTACATGTTTTTTTTTCAACATGTAGCTTTTATTGATTATATTTGTGAATAAAGATGGCAAGAAAAAAGCAAAGTTCTTCCTATTCAAAAATGCATTCAGTGAGGCTGATATCAAGGGAAATAAGGTTGCAAATTATCACGAATCTATGTATCAGATACTATCTCCATTACAAAAGTAGCTTAACATTAGACTGTAAAAATTATGGTAATATCAGGGGTGAAATTCAGCAGGTTCTGGAGAACCGGTAGTGGAAATTTTGAGTTGTTCGGAGAACCAGAAAATACCACCTCTGGTTGGCCCCAGAGTGGGGTGGGAATGGAGATTTTGCAATATCTTTCCCCTGCCACGTTCACTAAGCCACACCCACAGAACCGGTGGTAATAAAATTTTAATTTCGCCACTCGGTAACATTATTTTATGTAAATCTAGACATGCTTAAAATTACCCATGTAGGTAAAACTGAACAGGATTAAAATATACAAATCTAAAGCATGTATGATAATCAAGAACTGTGCTGAAACCAGTTAATTTTACACAAGTTTAGCAGTTTCACATAGCATTTAAGAGTTACTAGAAAGTAAGAACTGGTTTCCTATACACCAGTTCTTTATTTTTATTTATAGAATTTATATAGCAGCCTATTTGCCCATGGTGACTCAAGGCAGCTTACAGAATATAAAACCATATTTAAAACAATAAAACTAATGAAAAGAATCAAATAATTTAATATAGTATATAATATAGTATATTCCCACCCCCAGCAGATCTCACAAGCCATTTAATGGATTCCATCCATATTATTACAACTTACAAATATTACAACTTACAGTGAATTTTGCTCTCTCCTCCATTACTTCATAACCAAGTATTGTAGGAGTAGCGGGTCGATCTTCCCAGTTCTCCAAGATATTTTGATCAGTTGTTTCCAATGGTTGAATATAATATTCCATAGAAGTGTTTAAACCTAACATTTTAGTCCTAACAAGTGGACTATTGCAAGGACATGAAGTAGTACCAATCTCATCGGGAATACTCATTTTCTTAAAGTTGCTTTTAGACGACTCTTCTATCTGTCCCTTTGAAGAATCTGAACATGTTGAAATACTCCCAAGAGATGATCTTCTTTGGTTTCTATTTATGGTAAAATTAGTAGAACTTCCTATAGGAATTGGAACAGGAACATATGGAGTAGTCATCCTTCATCAGAAAGTTTAAGAAAGTTTATATATGTCCAAATTGTTGAGCTTAAATGATTCTCTCGTTTTAATTTTTTTCACAGGTATCTGGAAGGGTAAAGAAAGTTAAAAAGTATTTCAATTGTCCTTTCAAGAAAAAATTCAAATTAAATGACAAAGAAGTATGGAACATTATATATAAAATATATGATTAAATAATAATTCTACAAATCAAGAGTACAATTTAAGGTTATTAAATATCATAAAGTATTTTAATGGTGAAGTATAAAAACTAGAAACCTCAAAGCAAACCTCAAACCAAACCTAAAGAGAAGCAAACAGGGATATTAAAATGTATACCTGTATACATCTTTCCAAATATATTCCCATGCCATATTAAAAAGTAACAACAGAAGAGTTATTTCAATCAGCTGATGAGTACAGAAATTTGCCATTTTTTAAAAAAATTAACTAACTGAAATGGAACGCCATGTCCTAAAACTCATTTCACTATCCAGTACAAAAGAAAGTTTTGATTTTGAAAATATCAATATAGTACAATTTAATATCATCTAATTATGTCGTTATGCTTATAACAATATTTTTAAAAGAACAAAAACATCAGCACTGGTTTTCTCTATCATGATTGTCATCCCAGAAACATATATGGGCTGGATTACCAAATTATATACAATATTTAAAACTGGATCACTCCACATCTCCACCTAACACTAGAAATGCTCATAATACTCCCATTGTTTAATTACAGGCACAAGTACATAATAATATTTGCCCTAAGCTGAGAACCGTACTGACATAAAACCATTGAAAGTAATTTCATTTAAAAAAACAATACTTTGAACCATGTCATTTCAGTCTTTTTTGTAACCTCCCTTCTCATACTGTAATGCAGACCTTACAGTTTCTTTTACAGCACAAGATCTCTATTAATTTTCCCTTTTCTTCCAACTTCTTCTTCCTCTTTCTTCTGCATCCTCACTCTTTGTGTGAAAAGTAATTTGTGCTAACTTAGCCATTTTAATTGCTATCATATTTCTGCCTCCTTCAAGAGAGCCAAGTGGAACTCTGGGAATGCAGACATGAACGTGGCATGAATGTATTGTTCTCAGCTGTGTTTGGATATACCTAACAATAAGAGTATACATTTTTTGACAGCTTTCCAATTTAGAGTAGAACATTAGGCTATCCAGGAAAATTATAGTTTAAGAAAGAAATTGCTCTCTGAAACTTGCACCTAAATACAACCATGTATTTAGCAATCTTTCAAAGATAAAATGCATTGAGAGAGGTGACTTATGATTGGCCTTCATATTTATGTCTGCTGTAGGTCATGTGATCAAAATTCAGGCATGTATTTATGTTGGTTGCAATATTTTGGAGTCACGTGATCACCATTTATTATCTTTCCATCCAGCTTTGACTAATGTGGAAAGGTGGACTCACTTAACCGCATGGTTCATTTAGCACCTGCCATAATTTCCTTCACAGCCATGGCAAAAAGGTCATGGTTGCAGATCCCTAAACAACTGCCTTGCTTAGCAACAGAAATTTTGGTTCCAAATGCAGTTGTAAATGAGGATTACCTATACCGCTTTCCAAAGTATTCACCAGGAACATAGAAAACGAGAACTGCATTGTGAAGAAGCCTTAAAGTTGATTATGCATTGTTCCAGCACTGTACTGAATGTTTCAGATGGAGCTATTGATAGAACTTAGTGAATTCCGGCATGCTTCTACGATAGATCACTCCTAAGACCAATGCTGAGCAAAGAGAATTAGAGGATGCAGAGCTGGTCATTTTATCCCCCCAAAAAACTAAACAACCTCTAAATTCTAGCGTAGCAATCAAAAAGACAACGCCCACAAAATATGCTGAGGTTAGACTTTTTAAAACCATGACTGAGTAAAATAATAATTGTGGTCAATTTCATAAATAAAATTTGTTCAATAGAAAACCAAAAGTATAGTTGTGCCTGTCTGGCCCAAAATCAAGAATGACACATGATATATGTGATGATGGGGGTTTCCCCCCCACCTTTTTTCTCTCTCTCCTTTTCCCTCTGTTTTTTTCCCCCCTATTGTTATGTGATGTTGTCTATGTAATAAAAAATAAAATTATTATATATATATAAAAAAAGAATGACACATGGTAATTTTATTCAAGCTGAGTTCTTTATTGTTTCATACCTAGAGGCAAAATCTTACCGGACTGAGTACTCTGGTATCTGCATCTACCATATTCTCTTAAGATATACTGGAGGGGGGCTGTTTTCACCTTTTTATCACACATAATATCTGGACTGAGCTGCCTTTTACTCCTCTGGAATGCACCCCTCCTTCCTGAAAATCCATCTCTTTACTACCATCACCTTATCCAATATTACACTAGAAGTACAGCAGCTGTTACTACTTGTATACCATCAATATACTTTCATTCCAACTCACCTCACAGGTTATTTTTGTGGGGAAAACAGGAAGGAAGAACATTACCGGTATGTATGCCTCCTTGACTTATACAAAATGAAGGCGAGAGAGAAATGTAATAATCAATAAGTAACTGGATGCATAGAATCAAACTGTCTTGTGGAATTGATTTCAAAGTACTAGACACTTGAAAGGTTCTCAAGGATGAAGTAGGTTTCAAGGATTGAAGCTACTAGATAAGCAGCAGAAACTTCTATAGGAAAGTTATAAATCAAACTTTAGCAAAGGTTGAATTATGTGTATAAAGCACCTTGTCTTCAGTTGGGTTAAAGATTTTTTAAAAATATTGTAAAGGAAAAAAAAACTCACTTTGGCCACTTTAAGATGCATTTTAAAATCTTGGACCTAGAAAAACTAAGCAATGAATTTTGCTCACAACTTCTAGAATCAGTGCAGTGTGAATTTCTAAACTTTTGAATTAGTGGACTTATTTGGAATCTAATAAATACAGTATATCTATTCACTTCGTTACTGCTTTGTTTTCTTTGTCACTCCAAATATAAGGCTCTTGCGTGGCTGACATTAGGCACTCAAATAAAATGAGTGCCAATGGAAGGATGTCACTGTGGGTGTGACTTGTTACAAAACACCAGGTATGAGAAAGCAAACTTGTGACCCTATCCAGCTTCTTAGTGTGTGCTCTACTACCCTAGCTTGCAATCCTTTTTCACTGATTAGGTGGATAGTCTTCTAAATAAACAAGTGTAGTTTTTGAAGATTATACATGAAAGACCAGAATCTTTTTTATAATAAACATTCTATTTTACTCTGCAGCATGTCTATTTTGGTCTCTTCTTTTTTAACTGAAAGAATCAGCAATAACAAAAACAAAACTAAGAGGATCAAAGGCCTTGGTGGCTGCAAAACAGTATTTTTGAGGGTACAGTGTTAGCAATTGCAGTAATACAAGAACTTCTCAAATTACCTATGAGTTTCCAACCCAGTGTTTTCAAACCTTAGCAACTTGAAGAATCTGGCTGGGTAATTCTGGGAGTTGAGGTCCATGCATCTTCAAGTGGCAAAAGTTGAAAAATGTGATTCCTAGACAATACATGGTAGAAGATCCATTATAAACCCACCCCCACCCCCCAATGCTAAGGCAATTATGGGTGCCTGTCATCTTAAAGTTAAAGAAAAAGCAAAATAATAAACCATGGAAAGGAAATGCAGTACCTGTATTTAGTATTCAAGGCAAATATTCCAGATTTGTGGATATTTCCAGATTCATATTAAATGCATGTAAAATGTTTGTTTGAAAGCAAATTTTCAAGATGAAACATAATTTACCAAACCGACATTAAAAGATGTAACAATATAAATTGTAAGAGAAAGATGAGAAAAAGGTATGTATTGATTATAAGAAAAGAAACTAACTATGAAATGGAGCTAGGAGAGTCTCATAAATTATCTGAATCAGGCAAACTGCTTCATAATTTTGAGTATATATTCAAATATCAAAAGGATTAAGCTGACAAATGAACATTTCAATCTGCAAATTCAGAAAATATGACATACCAAAGGAAAGAACACTTGTCAAAATAATTGTTTATAAATAGAATTAAAATCTAGAAGCCTAGAAGTTATTTCATGATTTTTAAAATAAATTTAAGATTATTTATTCCTTCCCTCTTCAAATTAAATAAACATCAATTCAAATGGAACAGCCAGTGATGTCAAAAGAAAGAAAAGATAGACAGTCTTACCAAAAAATATCTTGCACAACTTCGCAAAACTTTTTTTAAAAAAAGACTATGCATGTTTTAGTATAAATCCAGGCTGGACAACAAGGTCCCAAAATACTGTGGGAGATCAAATTACATCAACAGATGCAATTTATGGGCAACTGGGAATTGGGCAAGGATGCCATGAAAAGTGAAAGAACCACACATGACATTAAGAGTGGCAAACATAGTATGCCCATTTCCTCAGATACATCCAATTTTATATATTTTGTGCCGAAAAATATAAATATATAAAACATAAAGATATATATGCAATATCTATCTATCTATCTATCTATCTATCTATCTATCTATCTATCTATCTATCTATCTATCTATCTATCTATCTATCTATCATCTACCTACCTACCTCCCATTTATAACGAGACGGAAAAGATCTCTTACACGTTGAAATTGTGTTTTACTTTTGATT